AAAAGGAGAGGTGATCCGTTTTGTTAGACGAATCACTTTGCTCGTCTCCTTCTGAGGCTCTGTTCTAGGGGATGACTTGAAGGGTATGCTCCGCGTTCATTTGATGTTCCCGCGGTTTCTTTGGACACTGTGGTCTTGTCGGCACCTATGGAGGATCTATCACCTTCGCAGCATAAAAATACTCGAAGGAACCGCAACGCGGTCGCGACGAGGCTCGCTGGTGACACCATCACCCAACTTTCATTTCTAAAAGCTTCCTGGTGGTGCGGTTGTTCCGCTACTAGCCCTCTCCATTTTGAGTGGTAAGGGTGATAAGAAGAAAGCTGGCACCAACATCGACGAGAACTCGTCCAACCGCGCCCTTTGCTTTCGAACAAGTATGAGCGCGATTCAGTTCGGGGTTCTACATGGAGTTCGGGGAAGTTATTTTGCTCTTCTCTCAACTCTAGTGTTGCTCGCCATCTTTTCACAAACATTTGAGAAACAGTTTCTGACGGGCTCACAATTTCTGACGGGCGTGTCTTAAAACAATCCGTGGATAGGGTGACCCCTCCCAAGGGATTGAAGAAAAAGAACCTCAAAAGAATGAAGGAGAAGGAATCGAAAAATTTTTCCCAACGGTTTTTGCAGAGGACTGAAGATGAATGGGAGAAAGGAGCCCTTTCGTTACTTTCCTCAACGAAACGTCTTGCTAATTCTTAACACATTTAACGCCTCTTGCGGCGACTCCCGTTTTTACTTCCTGCGTCGTGAATTGCGTGCAATACACAAACGCACGAAACGGGAGTCTTTGTGCCGCATGCCCCTTTACACGCTCATTCTGGTTACTTTTGCGCTCATTTCTACATTGTTCAATATGAATGATGACTTCTTTAGCTGCATAGATGGATCTGGACAACGTAGAAGATCTAAACGTCAGTTTGACGACATAAGTATTGTTATCATAATCAATTAAACACTATCAAATGTATTGTAAATTAACACTAATTATCACTAGAAGTCTTACTACCATTGTAGTGATGCGGAGCTATCATAAGAAGTGCAATTACCGACCGCGCCACTGACTGTTATTTTGTAATATTAATGAATTACTTCAATGAGCAGCTTATTTCGCGCCATCAAGAATCAAGCATAAGCAAAGCTCACTGCACATGTATCGGTGAGATGGTTCGAGTCACTCATACCCAGAAAAACGACCACAAAGTGAATTGTGGGCAATACACAAACGCGAGAAAGGTAGTATGCGCGTGTACTGCCGACGATTCATTGCGTTCAGTGTGTCAATAAAGAATGAGCTCAAAGTCCCAATCGCGTACGTTGTTCTTAATGTGGCCCCATGGAATTACTGAGATTCCCTCGACCTTCCCTTGCAAGAGAATAAGAGGCAGCCCTGCTGGCGGCATGAAGGGGAGCGCACTCTCAAAAAAGCATAAAAAAGGAAAGCGTGTTGTGCCGGTTGTAGTACCCGCCTGAGGTCAAGACTAAGGATCATATCTTAGTTTTCTTGTGATTTGAATGTTTCCACTGCAGCGCTAGCCATCCTCTACAAAAGCAAGCCTAGAATGCTCAACACCTCGAAGGAAAGGCTGACACATATCATTAACGGGGAGGAGTCCTGTCTGAGACAGGGCACACCATGGTCGGGAATTGTCAGTTGAAGACAGAGGGTCTAAATAGCCTGACGGACAAAGGAGTACTCCATCCGACTGATTGATGTTCACTGTTGTTTCCTGTCCTTTCCATCCCCTGTTCCTCCCTTTACCAGTTGCAGCATCATACACTCTGCAACTGATGAAATTAGTGAGCAGTTCCAGTCGATCTACCACGACACGCCACCCCTGTGGAGTTCAAAACTGCGATCCCCCATTCTTCAGCATCCGCCTAGTAAGGGAGGGGGGAGGTCATCTTGTGAAGAATTCATCATTGCAACGGCTGAGATCCAAGGGCTCCACTGGTTTCCACATTTCCAAGATTAATTCAAAAAATGAAGAATTTGATCGAGCAGCGAGGGGCATGCCAAGGGCCCCTCGTACAAAAGTGGGATCATCCTCACGCTAACACTTCCGTTTTTGCATAGAGGAAGCGATACACGAATTCACATCTTTCTCAGTAGTTCTCATCTCCATTGAAGCAACCCCAGTTTTTGCATAACGATTCCCTTGTATGCCGCCCACCTTCGCCCGATCAGGCCCAAAAAAGTATCTCGCCGGGAAGCGTGGCCCAAGTGATAGTGTGGCAGTGGCACGCTTACCATGCGTACTTGGCCGGGGATCAAATCCCGAATAGGTTCCCGCTCAGGCCAACCAAGCCTTCTCTACCCTCGCAGGATGGTTGTAAAATATTCGTCTGAGGGGGATAGGAGCACTGAGTTCCACCCCGACTGGGCCCCGCAGATCATTGTATAGGACGCAATGCATTCAATAAGCTACCACGATTCTGAATGAGAAAGCCCACCGCATCCCAAAAAGGGATTGGTGGCATAGGCTTTTCACTGAGAAATGGCAAAGAGCTCATCTTTTTATCTTTTATACGCTTTGCAAAGGGAAAAATGCCAAAATCGAAGTTCAGCTCCATGGACGTCTATGAGATAAGGTGAATATTTGAGAAACGTAATAAAGGTTATAAGAAAAGCGAACACGAGAAACGGGAACCAATTAAAATGGAGTCAAAATTGAAATCGGTTAAAATGTCTCCACCTACCTAATATAGTTACGGGCTTCTTCCGACTGAATCTTTGACAAGAAATCGCAACTTGGCGTACCCACCACGCCCATAATCCTTGTTAACTGATCGATGTCTGGAAACAGGTAAATAATGGCCGCACACATAGAACGACAAACAATCGCCCCGTCGGAACGTCCGCTTGGATCAAGCTGAGACGCAGACTTCACGCTATGATTCACCATAGTACTGCTTTGCACTATGTTTACAAAAGATCTACAAAATATCGATCAGCGTAAATAAGAATAACTCACGATCATCCCCAGGGAACATCGGCTTTCCGGACACAAGCTCGGCAAGAATGCAACCAACCGACCACACATCAACTGCAAAGCAATCGTAGACCCTAATTAACAACGACAATGATGGAAGCCAAACATTTCAACGCTAACAAAGAAAAAATCGGATAGAACGTTCACGGGAAAATCAATGCACCTAGCAGCTTTACCATCCTACTATATATACCATTTTCACTTTAAATCGGACACTTTTCAAACCAAATCGGACACTTTTCAAACCAAATCGGACACTTTTCAAACCAAATCGGACACTTTTCAAACCAAATCGGACACTTTTCAAATCAAATCGGACACTTTTCAAACCAAATCGGACACTTTTCAAATCAAATCGGACACACCCCTTACAATTAGGTGGTTGATAACTAGACCACACTAGGTACTGTTGCAAGCCCCGCCCCATTATCCCCGCCCACTTCTCAGCGCGGACAGGGTTTTCCGAGATGCTTCATGAAATCTGCTCCCTCGACTTTTTTCGTTTTTGCCCTTTGCACACACACTTCAACTGAAAAAGATTGATACCTATACAGATCTGACTCCGCCCACTTAACAATGAAGTTACGTAAGTTCTGAATTTTTATAACTTTTTTCGACGTAGTTCTTTTCACATCCAATCTTCACAAAACGAATAACCATGCACAGCACACAGGCCCGCCCCTCTGCACCCCCCCACTTGTGTTATACGCGATTTGGTTTTTGTTCCGGAATTTTTGCTTTTTTAGATGGGGGCTTTTACCGCATTGGGCCTCACCCACCAATGGAAGCTTCCGCCCCTTTGAGTTAAGCCCCCGCCACTTTTTGTTTCGAAAAGTGTTATGCAAATCGGCGACCTACGTGTCTGGACGGCGGATTACGGCTCTCAAGGCACAGAGATGAAAAAAAAAGGGAAAAACCGGGAAAAAAAAGGGAACTTGTGGTTGGCGGGCAGCGAACGTAGTCGAGGCGGATTGCGCAGTACGACACGAGCCGTCGATTTGGCATCAGTTTCGAAAAAGTGGGCGGCGTGCCCCAAAGTGGGCGAGCTCCTTGGTGGGCGAGCCACATCGCGAAGCCTAAACAAAAGAAAATCTGGAACAAAAACCAAAATTCCGCGATAAACACAAGTGGGCGGGGTCAGAGGGGCGGGGCCTGGTGTGCTGTGCATGGTTATTCGTTTTGTGAAGATTGGATGTGAAAAGAACTACGTCGAAAAAGTTATAAAAAATTCAGAACTACGTAAACATTCGTTGTCAGGTGGCGATTCAGACCTGTATAGGTACAATCTTTTTTCAGTTGAAGTGTGTGTGGCAAAGGGGTCAAAAATGAAAACAAAGTCGAGGAGGCCAGATTTTCAGTCGAAGGCATCTCGCAAAACGCCTGTCCGCGCTGAGAAGCGGCGGGGATAATGGTCCGGCTTGCCAACAGTACCTAGTGTTGATGCTAGTTTATTCAACACGCTAATTGTAAGGGGTGTGTCCGATTTGGTTTGAAAAGTGTCCGATTTGATTTGAAAAGTGTCCGATTTGATTTGAAAAGTGTCCGATTTGATTTGAAAAGTGTCCGATTTAAAGTGAAAATGGTATATAATGCTAAGTTTGTCTGTTTGGTGTGTGTGTGTGTATGTTTGTGTGTGTGTGTTTGACCTGGAAATTCATAACTTTCTTCAAAATAGCGATAAAGCGCTCAAACTTATAAGTGATGTAGGGGGGGGTCGGGGCAGGAACACTATTGGTGGGTGGCAGGAAGTGATAACAGTTGATAAGATACCATAAAGGGCCTTATAAAGGCAAAGTCAACAAATTCATAACGCGCGTCACAGCAACGTTAGAGCGTTGGCTCCAAGAAGTAAGATAGGGGCAGGATGGGAACATTATTGGAGGGTGGCAGAAAGTGATAACAGTTGATAAGATACCATAAGGACCTTGAAAGAGTGTGTTGCCTAATTCATAACACCGACCACAGCAGCGATGAGACGTTGGTTTCAAGAAGTTAGATAGGGGGCAGGATGGGAACATTATTGGTGGGTGACAGGAAGTGATAACAGCTGATAAGATACCACAAGGGGCCTTAAAAAGGAAGGGTCACCAGCTCCATAGCGCGGACCACAGCGACGACGGGATGTGGGTTCCAAGAAGTTAGATAGGGGCAGGATGGGAACATTATTGGTGGGTGGCAGGACGTGATAACAGCTGATAAGGTACCAGGGGACCTTTTGAAAGAGGTTGCCCCGAAGTTTGTAGCATGAGTTGTAGCAACACTTGGAAACTGTTTCTAGCAAGTCATTCAGAAGGGGTTAAGGAACATTGGTGAAGGGAGATAAGTTGTGATATAGTGTGAGGAAAGAGCTCATAAGGATCAGTATCTGTTCGCATCCTTACTCTGCTCAGCCTGAACTTCAGCACCGGTGCCCAAGAAACAACGGTCAAAGGCTTAGCGAGTAGAGTTATCACTAAGGGATAGAGTTATCCTATCCCTTAGTGATATGGTTGCGACTGCCAAGCTCTCGAGTTTCGACGAATTAAAAGCCCTGGAAGCTGCTCAACGGAAGTACTAGGATGTGAGAAATGTGAGGATATTTCACTATGATATCGATGTTATTACCATCGAAAGTCTTTCAACCGCTAAGCTGTCCTATTTCCAACGGATGGTGAGTGTTTCTTAGAAATGTGATAAGCACCAGACATTAGCAAACGTTCATTAAATAGGAGAATCATAATGAAATGGCCGTATTCCAAAAAATTGTAATCGGGCGAAGTGTTTGGGGTCAGTACAGAAATCCTGTCAGCGATCAGTACCATTACCATAGGTCCAACCGTACGCGCAGTAGTGCGCGTCAGCCAAGCTGGTGCATAACTTTGTGTGTCGGTTTGTATGTATGTACGGCAGTAATGCATGTATGTTGTACGTATGTATGTTGCATTTATGTCCGTCCGCAAATTTTTTGCAGGGGTCGTAGCAATAATAGTAAGTCCGTTCCAAAAGGTAATGTAGGCAGTGGGACCGGAGCACTATGGTGGACTCGTCAAATGCACAGCGCGTGTCGCAGCAAAACTAGGAAGTCATTTACTATATCCTACTATATATAAACGGCGACGTCTGTCTGTCTGTCTGTCTGTCTGTCTGTCTGTCTGTCTGTCTGTCTGTCTGTCTGTCTGTCTGTCTGTCTGTCTGTCCGGAAATTCGGAACTACCTGAAGAGCCAGTCTCAGGGGGCGGGTCAAGGTTGGGATGGGTAGGGCATGGGCCAAGATGTACGAACACACGTGAACTAGGCTAAGCCCCGCCCACTGTGGGCGGCGCGTGCGCATAGTTGTGAGCTTCATATTTCAAAAATTCGTAGTTCGGTTCCAAAAAAGCCCCGAGAGCGGAGAAAAGTGGCAAACGATAGGCAATCAGTTCGCGGACGAAATGACTGAAACAAACCCATTTTGGGCGGGGCGTTCTACAGATGGGCGGTGCTTGCTTCGAGACTTTCAAAAATTCCCAGTTCGGTTCCAAAAGAGCCCCGAGAGCGGAAAAAGTGGCAAACGATAGGCAATCAGTTCGCGGACGAAATGACTGAAACAAACCCATTCTGTGCAGGGCGTTCTGTAGGTAAGCGGTGCCTGCTACGAAACTTTCAAAAATTCGTAGTTGGGTTCCAAAAAAGCTCGGAGAGTGGGAGAAGTGGCAAACGATAGGCAATCAGTTGGCGGACGGAATTAATGAAGCACACCCGTGATGGGCGGAGCGTTCGCCGAAGTGGACGATGCCGAGGACGAAAACCCTCGAAACGCATCCGAAAAACCCCACGAAATGGGGAGTGAGCTGAAACTAAGCAATGGTATGGCAGATGAACATAGTGAGGGGATAATCGTAGGGAGTATACCAAATGGTTGGTACCGTCGGCAATAGTTTGCAGTGCCGCATAGAAAATTTTGATGGCTGTCTACTAGGGGGGGTATATACTAGAAGTGAAACGGTAAAGTGCGGTAATTCTCAAAATGATATTTCTTTCGACCATTCGGCCGGCGAAGCCGGCCGATCCGACTGGCCCTCCCTCACATGGAAAACTTCTCACAGGGACTCACTTCACACGCGACGAGATCGGCCTGGCGAAGCCGGCCGATGCCGACTGGTTGTTTGATAACTGCTGTTTAACGCCGCAGTGCGCGATGCGAAAGTTATCACAAGAATGCTGAGTTATGGGCAAAAGTCGGTCCTAAAACAGCTTCAAAATTGTAAAGCCTTCGGCCTCGCGGTTCACTGCCGATATCTAACGATTACGGCTGACCGGCTCACCATGTTAAACGTGTGAGTGCTGTAAGGCTACGGCATATAAGCCGTTAAAGACAGCTCCCGCGATAAAAGTGTCAAGTATAAGTTGCTGTTCAATTATGAAACAGTAGCTGATAAGTAATTCCTCAAAATGGGAAAAAAGCAACAATAGCCGTCAAGCACTACAAACAAAATCACTCCCTGACAGTCACACCGCCCTGCGGTCTTTGTGCAACCCCTGGCTCACAAATCCCTTTATCGCATCTCCCAGTAATGGATATCATCCAATGCAAAAAAGAATACGAAAAACAACAAAAACACGAACGAAAAACACTTGAAGACAGCCCCCGCGCTCGAGTAGTACATGGTCGTCCTTCCTTGTGCAAGTAGTACAGCCCCCAAGCTAGAGACTGTCCCACTCTATTCGACTCCACAGCGAGCGAGGAGCGAGCTACAGCCGCTGTAAGTTCTAGTTCTAACGCCTGCTCAGTTGGACCGCCTTACTTGCTAGATGCCCTCCGACGGAGGCCACTCAGTTGTTCTTAGTTGGGGCGGCGGGCATTAATCGGAATTGCATGTCCTTTTTGCTGACCGCGCTCGTGCCCATGGATAATTCTGCTCTCCTTTATTACAGTTTACTCATTGGGGGCATATACAATCAACTCAACCCATTTCGCAAGGTGAAACGCGTAAAAATCACGAGTGACGCAATTTTCGTGGTGCAAAAGCTCGGCGCACTTCACTACACTAAAATGTGCGCTACCGTAATCCCAAATTCGGACACCGAGTTTTTAA